CCATGTCACTGAGCTATAACCCCAGCCCAGTATTTTTATTATGTATTATGAACAAGTATGCAGCTTGTTAACTTCAGGTCAGCTTTAAAAAATAAGATCTTAGAATTTTTCTCCATACTTTAAAGTATTTTGTTTAAATTACTCATGTTAATTTATCTCTCTGCAAATAAAAAATCGTTAGCGGGCCAGGATCACGCATGGTTGTAACCCCAGCTCTCTGTGAAGGTGAGGCAGGAGAATGACAAATTGAGCTCAACCCCGGGCAGTTTAGCAACACAGTGAGACCATGTCTCCACCAGAAAAGAAAAAAAGAAAGAAAGAAAGAAAAAGAAAAAAAGCTGGGTATGTGGCTCAAGTCCCTGGGTTCAATTGCTAGTATAGCCAAGAAAAGAGAAAAAGTTACATAACAGTATGCAACTTTTTTCTGAAAAGAGGCTTTATGGTGCTTAATTTAGCTAGAAGCAGTTTCATTTTTGTAAAATTCAACTAACAAAGCCTGAGTTAAAGTTAGAAGCTACACTAAATATGAAGGCAAGACATGTTTTATAGATATTAAAAAACCTTATGCTTTGGTCTTGATGTTAATATTGAACCTATTATAGCACTGAGCATTTTTTAAAAATGTTTTTTATTTTAAAGATAAAAAACTAACAAAACAACAAAGAAGACAAACTCAAAACAACACAAAAACAACAAAAGTCATATATGACCTCAAAACAAAATGATAGGAATTAACAGTGGTTGCTACATTACATACTGTTATCTTCAGCAAAGTTGCTTAGTCCACCAGACGTAAGAATGTAAGATTACTCAAACAATTAAAGACAGTAGCAAGTAATAATAAAAAATTACCATTGGAAATGATGCAGAGCTTCACCACACAAGATGGTAGGAGTTCAACAATGATTCTTATACTGCATATTGTTTTCAGATCAGTCATTCTGATGACCAGATTCAGGTGTGCAAAACTGGTCATCAAAGTTTATGAAGTGATGCTAAGAATAACTACTATTTAGCTTTCTCATAAGAAATCAGTTGTTGTTATGTTTTCTAATTTTCCTATTTGACCAGTGCAAATAGCTATTTTAGATAAAAGGTGGAGAGAAATACCAGCATTTTCTCTATAAAAATTGCAGTTTTTCTTGAATTAATTATGAATTTTTTCTTATTTTTAATATGTAAATACAGACATGTTTCAATTTATAAATATTGCAATTACTAGTTAAAGTATAAAGTTTTTGCTTTGATATAATAGGTCTTTTGCATTTTGGTGAGCTATTAAGTTTTACATTATTTAGCTATTTCTCCAAATAAGTATTTGATTTCCAAAGTAAGTTTTTAACAATATTATTATTATTATTATTATTATTATTATTATTTGTAGTGCTAGGGATTGAACTCTGGGCCTTGTGCATGCTAGGTAAGTGCTTTACTGCAGATATAAACACCCAGCCCTAGTTAATTTTTTGAGAAAAATGTTTTATAAGATTTATATTTATAAAGAGGCAAACATGTCACTAATACCCATAGTAGGTTACAGTGGGTTTAACTATAGACTAGAGTTACCACTGATGCCAATCTAAGTTATAAAGGTAGCTTTTGAACTGGCTAAGGTTTAGTTCTCTGAGGGAATAAGAAAAAGTGATTCTGAAATTCTGAAAGCCACATGCTAACTGATGTCTATGACAAAGGCCAAAGTCACCGAGATTCTATTTGTATTTTAGTTCTAAGATTAAGTTCAAATATATTTTGAGTTTTCACATATAATTTTAAAATTCGGAAAGTCTTGCATTTTTTTTTTTTTTTTTTT